CTTTGTCTAAACAGAAGGAAGGGAAGAAAATGTTACTAAGGACCGTAAGACATGTTTGCCCACCCCACATACAAATTCAGAAAGCTAAGTAACTCTTCTGTGAAAATTACATCGATAATGCACATAAAAACAAATTCATTAGTGTCAGACACAGATAATATTAATCTTTCCCTTCCTCCTTCTATGATGTCCCTTTCTCATGCAATGTCTCATACTCCAGCCCTCAGTCACACCAGTGGTAGGAGCCGAGGATAGAAGAAGACATTGGTCTCAGCCACGTCCATGGAAGTAACCAGCTGTCGGATGTAGGCACGGTCATCTGTAGTAACTTCAGCTCCGGGCTGCAGGACATCACTCTTCAATACACAGTTCAGGTAAACTGGGAGTAGCTTCATGCATTCAGGAAGGATCAACTGAGGAGTGTTACCAAGATAAAGTCAATGATCATGAGAAAACCCTTCTAAAGGCAAAAATTCATCCCAACAACTCCACCAACATGCTTGCCTCACCTGTCCTGCAGAGGAGGGGCTAGCACAGTTCTTTCTGTAACAGGCCAGGATCTGGGCACACTGAGTGATAAGAGTGTCACGAACCGTCTTCACAGGGCTGTTCAGGACCCCCCTGTACGCTGGATGGAAAAGAGAGAGAGCACAGTCACTGGTCAGCCACCCCATCACATGTGCCTTCCAACCACACTTACCCAGGAATGCTGAATTGTTGATTGTCACCTTTCCCAGCCCCAGCCTCACCCTGCCCAGCCTCTACCCTCACCAAACTTGGCCATGTAGTTGATGAGCGTGTCAGTCTCACAGTTTCGGTACAGATCAGCCAGTTGGGTGCAGCAGTTCAGGGCCAGGTTGTGGATGCGGAGCCGTCGCTGTCCTGCACAGCTTGTATAGAGCAGGGCACACTAGGGGAAGGGAGAAAGGGGGAACTCACACCCCTCCCTTACCAAAGCCCTCTGAAAAACTGCCCCTTTGCTATATTATTAAACTAGATAAAAGACATAAGCCATCCCTTCCCCAGCCTTTTCTAGTCCTCTCTACCCACCCCTCATCCTCTTCCCTACAGCCTATTTATATCCAGTGAAATGATGCTTCCTCTCCAGCCCCTGCCTCCCGCCTGCCACCTGCAGGAGAGCTCCACTCTCTTCACTGAGCCGATCGTCATGCTTGAATTCCACAGTCACCGTCTTGTCCCCATCCAGCCCAGCCAGCTCCACATCTGTTGTGTTGCTCATGTAGAAAGCCCCAAAGAAATCTACAGCACGGATACCTGAGGCCACATGGACAGGGTCAGAGCTAAAGGTATAACAAGTGTCACTTGCCTCCCTCCCAGATTTAGCCCCCCACCTGCTTTTCTCCAACCAGGACTGACCAGTACTCGTCCGGACCCGCATCACAGCATCAAAGCCAACAACCTTCTGTACATCCCGACGCAGGTCACTCAGGAACCGTTCCTGGTCATTCTCTACCTGCAGCACCCCCAGCCCAGAGTCACATCACTGACTACATATCATCCTGCAGATAAGATCCCATTGCACCCCCCTCCACTCTACAAGCTGCTGAACTGTAATAATAACAGTGAAGATGATGATAATGATGATGATGGTAATGATAGATTTTAAGCACTTATTACGTGTTAGGTACCACACCAAATACTTCACATGTAATTACTTAATCCTGATGACAAATACTTTAATAAGTATTAAAATCCCATTTTACAGATGAAGAAACAAAGAGACAATAAGTAATTTTCCCAGGGTCATATAGCTAGTAAGTGGTAGGGTCAAAATATCAACCCAGGTTGATTCTAAGCCACATGCTCCTAACCACTACATTCATGGCTCTCTTCCTTATACTATGTGGTCTTTTTCTCTAACACTATTCCTATTAATACGTCGGCAGCTAAAGAACCACTTCACATGTAAGCATACTTTCCCAGTCCTGCTTCCACCTGCCCCCCAGTGTCCCATACCATACCTGAAAACAAGTATATTTGTAGACAGAGCCACCAGTGAGCTGGGGTACAACTGAGAGCGTGGCCACATCCACATACTGGTTAGGGAAGAGGAAGAGGTCTACACAGCAACCTTGGGCCACACACTCTTTGGCCAGGCTCTGATAGGTACCTGTCTGAGGCTGGAACAGAGTCTAGGGAGGAAAAGAAGAAAATATTCAAATATCTCAGCTCCACCCTACTTGAGAACTGTATATGTAATATAGAATATTCAAAGACATGTAAGATTTCAGATCTACCTCATAGGAGTTTGTAATAATAGAACATTCTCTAAAAATAAAAATCTACCAAAGGCTTTGGGATGAGATGAGATAGAGAGGTAAGGAGTGGCAGAGAGGGTTGGCAATCACAGATGTGACATGTGAAAGGTAGAGTATCTAGTCCCAGTCCCCCTCAAGAAAATTAGGAGTACTGTATTGCATTGTGAAAAGTCACCACCTTCCCCTCTAATGGAAAGTCCTCCTTCTATCTCTCAATCCCATACCTTCTCCTTGTCTGTGTTAATCAACTTCCTGTCATCTCTGTTCTTCAGTTTCCCTGGGGCCTCTGCAATAGGCAGGGAGGTATGGAACAGAAACAGCTTCCCTGCACATTCAGCAGCCTAGGAAAGAGAGGACTACTTGTTTATTCTTTCCTTTGTTCATCCATTATTCATTCATCTCCCTGCAACTTGTCATTTATTCAGTGTCAAATATGTCAGACAGGCTGACTCACCAGTGAGTCATCAATCACTGAAGAAACAGGAGCTGTATCCCAGGGGATAAGATGGTCAGAGGAAAGTGAGGCAGAGGACGTTGCTGGGGACTCTAGCCTTACCTTCAGTGCCTCCATCCCAGCCTGGATAACTGGGGCAAATACTGTCTCTGTCTCTCTTGTGTCTGCAAACATTTCTGGAATCTGATCCAGTAAGCTGAAGAGATAGGTGATGGGAAGCAATCAAAATTGCTATCCAGATTCCAGAGTCCTCAATTCCATGAAGAGTCATCTGGCCCCCAGACTCTGAAAACTCCTGAGGCACAGCCCCTGTCCAACTGCTGAGCCCTCTGCTCAACACTCTGGCTTTGTGTGGTTGTGCCCACCCCACTTTACCCCCAAATCTGGCTCTTACCTGGTGATGACTGCCCGAGACTCATTAACATTGACCAAGAAGCCATCCAGCAGTGGCACAAACATGTCAGCCACATCAGATACAACCATCATCTGTGGCTGGGCCAATGAGCTCTTCACATTGTAGAAGTGGAGCACCTTATTATAGGTGACAAAGCCAACGCGGATTGCTGACTCTTCTGCTCCGCCTTCCCTGTAGAATGTGACATTGTTACCCAAACCTGCCACCTTCTCCACCACCCAGCTCCATGACATCAGGCTCCATCTGAGGAATCAACCCAGATACTAGCACCACCCCCAGCAAGCAAAAGAAGCACCTCAGCTCCTCTTACCTAGGCAGAAAGTCTAACAGTGACTTGAGTTCCTCACAGAGGAGCCCAACAAGACCACTCCTGATGGCATTGTAGGAAACGTCAATCATGAAGATGAAGGCAGGAGGGCTGGGGAACTTATTGTTCTGCAAAGGAAGGAAATGTGGGGAGGGGGAGGGTGCGGTGTTGGTAAGCAAGCTAGTTGACTAGAGAAAAGCCAACATCAAACAGGATAACGAAGGGGTGAGGGAAATGATCACAGCAATTCTTAGCTGTCTCATTGTCCTCCACCCACCGCTCCTCCCCATGCTACCTTCCCTCACCTTGCAGTAATCTACAGTGGCCAAGAATTCATAAGAGCCCAGAGATAGCTCAGGACGGTCATAAGCATCCACACGTTTGCCGGTATGATCCAGATGTTGAAAATACTGGGGGGGAACTGTGGGGAGTATGGCAGAGTGTTACTCAAAGGTCCACTCTCAATCTTAGTTAAGTCTGGCCCTGGCTGAACTCACTTCACTGCCCCATATCCCCATATGTGCCCTACTTCCCAGTTCCTAGATAATGGACCCTCGTCTATCTAACTAGAAAGAGAATACTGAAGAGGCAGTCCAGATCTTCCCCCCAGTATCAGCCACTGTGAACATACCATCATTGATACAGCTGCAAAAGCAGCACTGGAAGCGCCTCCCTCCCTCAACGAACTGCATGTAAGGGCACATGTATGCTTTGCAGCGATTGCAGCGCAAAGGACCAGATTCCCCATGGTCGACAACATACGGTGAAGCCTAAGGAGCAAAGGGGAGGGGCTCAGACAGAAGGAAGATACAGTGGGTTAAGATGTAGCAATAGATGAGGAGGAACAACCTGGAGGGAGAAGCTGTGGCTCAGATATTTTGCCTGGGAAGGGAATCCAGTGAAGTGGAATGAAGACAGATGATGAGGATATTGGTCACAGGAATGTCCCTAAAAGTCTAAATTCCATAGTTCCCTTTCCTTACTCTCCATCTCCAGAATTTCACTTCTTCTGGAAAGAAAATAGTCTGAAACTGGCCCTACCAAGGCAGAGCTGCCATGGACATAAGAAGAAAAAGCCCAAAATTACCTAGGATTCTCATTTCTGGTCCTATCTTCAATCTCCTTCACTCTTGCCTTAGGGATCTTGACTCCTGCTTCCTTCCCCAACCAAATATCTATGACACTTGTCCTCCCCATCCCTGGGTTTCTGTGACACCTACTGATGCCCTAGGCAGATGTCACACTACAGATGAGACCAGTAGCCAAGTATCCAAGCATCCCCACTGAGACCCAGGAAGAGAAAGAGAAAAACAGAGCAAGACAGAGAAGCTGGATGTAAAGTGAGCCTGGAGGTTCCAGTTATAGAAAAATCCACCCGAAGTTTGATAAGCTAGGCATGAACATGAGGGTATCCTAGCAGCTGCCAAGCTATCTTTTTATGCTGATTTCAGATTAGGGCCCAAGCCAGGAAAGAGGATTACTGGATGCTAATCTATCATATATATATGATATATATATGCTGTCCTAACATCCCTAACCTACCTGGAATGATAGGATAGCATACAAGAAAAAACAGAATGATGTGCTTCTAATCATTAGGAAATGATCATACTACGAGAGGTTCCCAGATCCACCTGTCTCCTCAATCTAGCTGTCTCCTCTCCTACTAGTTGGCCCTGCCTCTTTTTATATTGTTTGTTTCCCCTTTGGACCCTGCCCCCAAATCCAGCAATTTCTTGGGCTTTTGTTCTCATCCCTACCACCTCCTTTAGGCATGGGCCCTGAGATAGAAGGCTACTGAAGATACTGTCCCCTCCTATCCAACCAAGACTCCTTCCATTGTGACTGCCAGAATCACATTTAGGAAGAAGTCTTATTCCCCTTCTCTCCCTTTCATTATACGCTAGTCCCTTCTCTGTCTTACCTCTTTTGGGGGCAGCCTTGCCAGTGGCTTGATGACAGCTGCAAGGGGCACCTGAGCCTGCTTAGCCATGTCAGATGTACAAGGGATATTATAGGATGTGCATCGGATGTATCGGGGACTTGCATTCCCTAAAAGAGGAGGTAGAAAACCTGAGTTAGAACACAGAATCCCTCCACACAACCATTGCTGATCCACCCCATCACCCCCACAAATGCTAGAGCTAACAGTGGCTTTTTCCCCCTAAAGACCAATGAGGGGCTGGTCTCTGATTAAAGACTGACAAAAGCCCCATCCATAAGTTGATAATCTTAGAGTAAAAGCCCCTACAAGGAAGAGTTAATGCCCTTCTCACCTTGATCTTTCACCACGAAGTTGGTGGTGACTAAGGGTGGCACCTGGCCCCGTACTCCAGTAACAAATGGCTCTGAACCCCGGTTGTTCCTGTCATCCTCAATAACC